GGGGTGTGCTCAAAATATATTCTTTAAATCGCAAATAAAGGGGGGTATCAAATTAGAAAATTCACACTGTACACTTTCTTATGCATTTCCCGTTATTTTATTTTTTCAATCTTTTGTATAAATTAATGATAATTTTAAACAGTTTTATTCTGTGACTCTATATACTTCTCCCTTGCTTTATTTATTATATCTCTATGATCCAAACAACGGTTTAATTCTCCATTGTTGATTATGTAGGTGGTTGTATTTTTTGAACAAAAAATCATGTTCTGCCTTATAATAAATAGGTACGTGCAATATTTTCAGGTGAGAAAGGCGTTTACGCTTATTAATATTAAGCAAAATAACAAAAAACTGTCATTGTGTGTTATATTATGTATAAATTTTTTTTTGCAACAGAACATTGTTTTCGTTGCAATCGTGTTTAATTTGGTAAAATCGTTGTCGTCAAAAAGCTTAGCAATTGCTCGCGAGTGCACCCCTTCGGCTGCTGCCAGTTCGGACAATTTAAGTTCAAATGATAATCCTTACGAGTGGCGTAAACTTGTCGGCTCGATTAGACGAAAAGTTCAACGGAACCCTACTTCAACAAACAATGGCGAAAAGGGTGGAAATGGGTCGGTGTCGCGTAAAAATTCCCTGACGAAAAGCAAATTTGACTTGTTCAAACGTGAAACAAGTCGTGAAGAGATCGGGATACAACATAGGAAGGAAAAAGGGCCGACCACAAGTAAAGATGAAGGAAACGTACCAAGTGTAAGCAGAACATCTAAGCTGGTGAAGCAAAAAAGCATCGAGTTGTCACCTAGTAAACGGAATTACTTTCGAAAATGTTATGAAAACGAAAAACGCAAATCAAATAAAGTTTGCCATTCTAATATGGACGTTTCTGCTAATAAATCAACCAAAACCGACGTGATGTTAAAATCCAATCGATCTAGTTTTAAAAATAAAAAATCGACCAAACAGAAAAACCAAAGAAACGTTAGCAGAGAAGACTTTTTAGCTGCTACCATGAGGATTTTTTTAGTCGTTTCGCCACCCGGAGGAAAGATACAGGTATGTTATTAAGAACATAATACACGATTCCTTTACTTTTGTCCTACGTCTCTTTAAGGATTTCTAAAGACGTTTCAGTTAATACCTAGGTACTCGAATAATATCCACATTCGTTCAAACACTTCAGAAGGTTTAAAATAATGTTCAACTTTTTGTAATTACAATCTATTTTATCCTTTTTTTTTGGGTGAGGGTCGGGGAACGCTAATATAAAATGGGGAATTATTTGTCTTTCTCTTATTATTTTCAGCACGCTTTCGTATTTATTTATTTCAGAAAGTTTTACTCAGTCTGGTTTGTCTATATTTCAATTTTATAATTAATTTTAGAAGTAAATGTTTTTTAATATTTAAAAGAGGTTTTTTTAATTTTATTATATTAAAAAATGTTTCACTGCCGAATAATGTATTTCTTTAAATTTTGTATTTCTAGGAATATGCCCTTTAACATTGTTTCAATTCGAGCCTTCTTTGGTGTAGTACCCAGTACTATTTATTCTTATCAAAATAAAAGGTTAAAGTACCTAATACAGTAAAGTATAATCCCATTGCACACAGAAATAATTTCCGCTTTTGTTTAACTTCCGCTTAAATGTAGGACAGATGCAGGACGATTTTTCTTAAAGAACAACCCACATGCAGCTTTTCCGTCTTAAAGCAGTCTCGCGAGCAGGGATTAAATGAAATAAATTTACCCTATGTGACAAACTCTCAAATGAATGTTCTAATTAGACAATTGCGCTCTATTAGCTGTAATATCAGCAAAACTGACATTCGAAAACAAAGTGTAAATAGATACTTATTACACTTTTAGATGATATTTAAACGGGGGAGTCTACAGGGAGGGTGTTTAAAGAAAGAAGTTGCTTTTGAAGTATCTACCTATACGGTGGAATGTGAAAACTACTATATATCTTGTTAATTTTTGTAACNTCAATCTGGAAATCCAAATTTTCTAGATAGAAACGTTTCACAATTTTTCAAAACCCTCATGGGTGTCGTCGGTTTACAGTTACTATGATTACTGTTTTTTCTTGCATTTTAAAGGTAATTTTTATCAGGTGACGACATGACCAGCGATGAAAAATTATCAGAAGAAGTAGTCTCCGTTAACCGAGATGTTTCGTCCTTAGAAGCGATTAAGGATACGTGCCAGAAATCCGCAACCTGTAATGTAGCCGAAATAGTAAACGAAGAAGGTATCGAAGAAAAACCTGATCAAGATTTTTCTAAACTATCCGAGTCGGAGCAAATAGCTAATGACATTTTGCAATCAATAATAGCTTCGACGTTCTGGTCACTCGAAACACATTCTTCTACCGACAATTTCAGTTTCGAAGAAAAGTGTTCTTATATCGATGACAGTGGAATTGATATGACCGATAACTATCCGATACCCACGGAGTGCCGAGAGCCGAAAAATTTCTGTGCGGAGGAAAAAAGTGAGAGTGCGTTGAAAAAAATGATGCCGTATACTGTATTTACCGATAACAATATCAACAATATGTACGGTGAAGTTAAATTTCGTAGGAGAAGTAATTCATGTCAAGAAAGAACGAGCGACGACTTTAAAAATGTTAATAGAAAAACCAGTATCGTTGGGGATGATTTTGAACAATTTTCAAATCGAAAATCTACGTCTTCTGATTCTATCGGGAATAGTAACAGAGGGTCTTTATATTCGGTGGAAGAATACGACGAAGAAGAAAACGAGGAATATATTATTAATAATAATAATAATCGTCACCGAGACCCGAACAAGATCAGTCCGATTTCAGCGGTGAACACCGTACTTGTCAATAACAGCACCGCAACAGTCGAGAAAGAAAAGCAAAAAGAAAACAAAGCTAGAAAGAAATCGATATTCTCCAACATATTTAGCAACAAGAAAAGCAACAAAGTTTCAAAGAAGAGCACCACTCTCGATTCTCCCTTTTCGTCATATCAGTCGGAGAAGCCGTTCAAAATCTCATTGATAAACGCCAAAAAGTACCGCTCGGCAGTGGACATTCGGGAACCACAACAATCATTAACTAAAAGGATTTCGAAGCTCCTGTACAAAGACGGGTCCAATCTTATTAGGAGATCGTTCAGTTTTAGAGATCTTCAGCGAAAGAAAGAGAAGGATATTACTCGAGAAAAATTGGCCGAAATGAAAAATATGGAATGGGCGGCTTCGTTGCAGTCCCTCGTCGAGAGCGACATCGGAATTAGTTACGACGATTTGAGTTTTGTGAATTACGACGTTCAAAATAGTTTATTGGCCGAAAAAATCGAACCATTACGTCCTCACAGAGCTATATTACGAACCCAGAGCATGTACGAAAACGTAAGCAATTTTATTTTAGCGATTACTTTCAAATCGTACTAATACATATTCGTTTTGTTTTTCCATTAGGGGTATGAAAAAAGTCGAAATTGTAATGAAACAAGGGACTCGTCCTCATCCGTCCCTCAGCATTCCCAATCAGCAGTAGGTAAGAAATTTAATTGGTGTCGTATGTAGGTATACAAACATATTGGGTAGTATACAAACTGTCTAAATGTCTGCTCTAACACATAAACTTAGAATCATAAGGTTACGGTAGGAGAAGACAACACTCACAAAGTGATTTCATTAAAGGAGATACATGGCAAGGACAACACTCGTTTAGTGTCTCCTCCAACTGCAACGTTTTAATCATTAACATACCCGTCCGTCAAACCAGACATTTGGACAGTTTGTATGCTATGCACTATCCAGCCAAATTACAAACTAGCCAAGTAGAAGGTATTTCTTTTTAATGTATTTTAGCAGGTTTCGTAAAATAAGCAATTAGAAAAGGAAGAGTGTGACAAAAATTAACATAACAGTGTGCAACATTCCCAATTAAATACTGCAAATTTTAGTAGTATGTTATTTGTTTTTCAAATCGAATCGCCATGTATGTCTATTGCTTACAGACTGCGGTATTTTTAATTTGTAAATTCCAATTTGTCGTCCATTTTATTTACTTATTAAAAAATTGGATTACTTGCGCTCAAGTGGTAATGTAAATCGGAATGTTCGCAGCAACGAGCTCATCGTCATTATGCACTCCAGCAACTTGAGCCGTTGCAGTAAAAACATCAGCGTTATTGAATTTCTCAAGTTTCATTTTTAAAATTTTCTCGTTGGCTGACGTACCGTCTAACCCATAGGTGTATAAAAATAATTTTCTAATTAGTGGAAGCTGTAACATTTTTTTTCGATGTTTCGCCGATTAACATTTCAAACATTCAACACCCTAAATACCTTTACAAATAAATTTGTGTACGTATACATGCACCAGTAATTAATGATATTGATTTTTCGGCAGAAATACAAACCCCTGTTTATAACTTGTAAACAGGTAAAGTTTGCATTGGATATTAATTAAACCACGCAAACCTTTAATTAAATCCTTGTTAAATACCGCGCCATGCTGTTTCAGCAAATTTCCGAAATAAAACAACAACATTTTAAAAACAAAAATTTGGCCTCGTGTATTTTCGTAGTAGCACCGTATTTTTATTTCAATAAAATAAAAAGCGCTTGAAAATTTCTGTATAATGTACGGCTTCTTCATAACTTTTACAGTAAACTTTATCAAACTTAAATCGCTGTAGATACGTAACCCAGAATTTCACAAAAAAAAGTTTATTATTAGTAGGCACCTAAACCTGATAGGTACTTGTCTAAAGGTGATAACCTTGGCTGGTAAAAACGCCTAAAATCTGGGTTTTATGGGTTTGTTAAGTCCAAAGTTATACAGAACTATTACATACATTTGATTTTGTTGTGTTAAAGTTGATTAAAAAAAAAATAGGAAGTGACAGTGTGGCAAAACAAGATTTGTAAAGGATATTGATAATTAAATTATTCTAGTGATCATGTTGAAGTAGAATAAAATCAGTTATTATTTTTTTTATTATATGTTAACTATTTCAATTACCAATTGGTTAATTTTGTTATGGATACAATATTATTTTTTTTCTTTCAGAATTGTCAAATTCAGGAACAGACATCTCCCTGATAATTAGTAGCGAACCGTGTCATCATAAAGAAGGAAATGTTGAAGATACGTCAAAAATTTCCGAAATGTAAGCGTCATCTTTTCTTAATATTAATGCTTTCACCTTTCAGCGTACCGTAAATTTTTCAAAACTGCGAAACTACTTACCGGGATTACTTTTTGATTTTCGCTTATAATGATACACGGGGATTTTTTCATTTCCGTTTTGAAACATTATCATTTGTTGGTTCGGATATTATTTGTGCTCTAATTCGTCTTGTTTAATATTCCACAAATCTAACCGGTTTCATTTTAGAAAATACCTTCACACGTGGAAAAAAGTTATCCCAAAAAGGTCTACGTAACTTTTTACAATTGTATTCATATTATTTCTCCACACGAAGAAGGACGCTTTGAGCCGAAACAGTTATTGTCATTCAATAATAAAATTTCTATTACATTAAACGTTAAGTAAGAGAATTACAAAATCAGTTTAAATTTCCGTAAGCGAATAGTTAAGTCCTTCTTTCGAATAATTTCGCAATAAATTTATCAATGTTCTACCTAGCTGTTTAGTTTAGGAACTTTAATCATTACGTAAATGATGAGTTTAAGAAAGTTTAAGACAGATAAGTCTTTCTGAAGAGGCAGCTTAATGACGCGGTTTTTAACATAATTTGCTACAACAACTTGCATACATACATAATAAGCATAAATGATAGATTGCCAGTTTAAAATTTTATAAAATAAATATCTATTGCAGATGCAACGCAAAATTTAATTAATAATATACAACGTTTAAATTGTTTCAGAAAAACAAGCGACAGTGTTAGTGAAAAGTCGAACGATCCGAAAGAAAATTGGGGTAATTCATCTCCTCCGTTGTTAAGTCTGCATTTGGTGAGTCCCATTTTTATTTTTTTTTTTTTTTGATGTAAATGTATCCATATTTATGTACATAAATTTATACATTTGAGCACGCGTGAGGGGTGAGCTAATAGTTAGAACGTACCAACATTGCAGAATCCAATTATTGCCAATTATGCCGGAAGAAATTTATTAAACTAGCACATCAGATTTCATTAAGAAAATTTACCATAGATTAGACGAAATTCCGCTAGGCGATAACTGCGAGTACGACGGTACAAGTTAGTTATGTTGCTGCTAAAGGAAGTAATCCATAAATAATTAAATTATTCTACCCCGGCTAATAATTTGCATGTGTTAATAGTTAGGACCGAAATTAATATACGAAATATTTACGCGGTAAAATGCCAAGATCGAATTGAGATATTCTGCTATCATCATCACCATAAGGTCGTCAGTCCTAAGACTAATTAGACCCGCACCTCCACTCATTCCTACTACTTGTGAATAGTAATCTACTCTAGGTCTACCAGTATCCTTCTTATTTCCTCTTTCAGTTTCTAATATGTCTCCAAATAACTCTTCATGTCTCAGGAGATGTCCTACAATCCTACCCCTAATTTTCCTCATTGACATTCATCGCACCCTCTGGTCTCCTATTTTATCCCTGTAAATCTATTTCTAAAGCGGCCCTGCCTTTAATATTACTAATTGGTATAAAATGGAAAAAAAAACATGCCAAGTTGCTAAAATAGAAAATATTATTCTTAAATAGAAATAATGTTACGGTGGTGTCTAGCAAGTTGCTATGTTTCATTTTGTAATCGCAAGCAAAACCATCGAAATTTTCGATTTAATGTAGCGCACGGGAAGGCTTGCGATGTTTTTGCGTGAGCATTAACCAAATGATGGAGGTTGATAAGGGTTAAAGGGGATTTCGGATGCAGATAAACGTACTTAGTGGGGTGGTTTTAGAGAACTGCTTGCTGTGTTAGCGTGCGTACATTTCCAACTAGTCAATAAGGCGATAAAAGGTATTTTAGTGCATTTTTTGTCATGGCACAACGACAGAAAACGGAAACGTTATAGGATTTTTATTACTACATAATACACAAATGTATGTAGATGGTAAAATAGGGAAATTCGGTAGGAGAGCGAGAACGAACTGCGAAATGCAGTGTAAGAATAATGGGGTGAAATTCCTCGAGAAACCATTAAGAATGTTATTACTAAGATGCCTTGAAGGCTGCAAATAGTAATTAAAGCCCGAAAAGGAAATAATTCGCTACTCGGAGACTTGTTTCAATCCCAAGTCAAATTTCGAGTAAGTACGACATAATATCGCATAACGTCGTACGTTAATTTTATACCTAGATATATTTTGCGATATTTCATCAGATTGCTACATTTACGTTTAATTAAGTTTGCTGCTTTATGGTTGTTGTGTTACCGTAATGTATTTTTAACTTGTTTGAATATTTTTCGGAAAAATAAAACAAAAAAATCAATCGGTAGATTTCCTTTGCCACAAATTTCCGAAGTTTATAATTTCTTTAGATGCTCATTCACGCAATAAGGTCGATGTTTCCATTTGAACGAACTTAACATTGAAAAAACGAATTTCCAAGAATAGTTACATTAATTTTAATTAATACGTTGACGTCTATACGGTGGTTGTGCAATATGGGGCAGTTCATCACACTACCAAAAGAAAACTATCGTTAAACTACATTAAAACATTAACCCCCCCATCCCCTCAAATGAAAAAGACAATGGCATAGTCGGTCGATCATTACCACAAGTAAGAAAATGTAAATTCCACCGCTGTGTACAAATCGAAACCCAAGGGCGAGGGGAACTTTTACCCATCACAATCTAAACTACCCTGGATAGTATTCATTTTTCGATGAAAATGTTACGTCTGTGAAGTAGGAGAGTAGTATTTTTACCAAAATTTCAAAAACTTTTGAATTTTTTTGGAGGAAAATTATCGTAGGATAATGTGTTAAAAAATGTATACTATCGATTACTAATCATAAGATTAAAACTTTGGTTTTTGATATAATTACTTTGGATAATTTGGGACCTAGCTGGATAGTATACAAACTATCCAAATGTATGATTAATTTGAAGAATATGTTTGGGATCATTAGACGGTAGAAGTAAACAACACTCACTTCTCTTACTGTAACCTTATAATTCTAAACGTATCCACTAAATCAGACATTTGAACAGTTTGTACACTATTATGCTTGGCTAGTTTACAGATTAGCCAAAATAAACATATTAAACATGACACATATAACTACAGCCAGGCGGCTTTACTCTTATGCTTAGCAATCGATAATATTTTCATCGTACAAGGAATAAAGAAATAATAAATATTTGGTAGGGTAGGTTAGGCTGCGATGGGTAAAAGTTCCCCCTCCTCGTCCTGGGGTTTCGATTTGTACAGAGCGGTCGAATTTACGTTTTGACTTGATGATCTTTTTCTACTCGTCGTAATGATCGACTAAATATGCCAGTGACCTCTTCATTTGGGCAGGGGGGGTCAATCTTTTAGTCTAGATTAGCAACAGCTTTTAATTCGATTTTAAAGCCGTAATGTCTAGGGTCTGAACTCTAATAATGTGGGCATAATTGATATGGAATTTTTATCACTAATGACTATTCTATATTTGGTAAATCTGCGACGCGGTCAAAATTGATGGCAGCGTAAACTGTGACAAGTTTGTTTATATATTATCTGACTCGTCGTCGTCTCTATCATCGTGAAATGTGATTGGTTTTTCGTCGAACGAAAATAACCGAAAGGACTCTCGTCCTTACAATACCGTACTACGCATATCTGTGATCCGAACCTGAACCAGTTTTCAGTGTACCGTCGCGACGCTATCATCATCCCAGTCATACCCTGCGCTTAATTAAAGACGCCGTTTTTCCGACACACATCATACCACGCGTTTTCTCTCTCGTATTTTTTAAATCGAATTTTACAATAATAATAAACAGTATCTGTATACCTTAACAATAATTTTAAGTACATCGAACGTAATGAAATGCACTTATTTCCATTTTACAAGCTCGCTCTCACTGAAACAATAATAAAAATCTCCTTTTTGAAAATTCGCATTTGATCTGTCTGTAAATAAATAAATAATAATAAATTGCCGCCGCGATAATTCTTATTTTTCATAAGAATATAATAAATGTCACATCAATGAATTATTTTTCACCGTAATTTTTATGTTAATGGTGTTATAATAATATAATACTGAAATAATAAGGTGAGTTTTTACCGTTTGAATAAAGCAGTAGATGTTAAATGTAGGGAAATAATCCATACTTGCAAAATACACATTAAAAGTTAAGTATTTACTAAATTAGCATATAATTACAAACACAACTGTTTATAGCTTCATTTCCTAAATTTTCATCAAGTATGATAATTATAATAAAATCGATGTAAGTAGTTTTTTTATTGAATGCTGTAAATCGAACTGTTATTTGTTAGCAGCACAAAAACGTAACTGTTACTGCAACATGTACGAATTTCGAAAAACATTAATTATGTACGATAAAATTAATAAGCAAAAATGTAAACGATAATTGAATGTGGAATCGCGCTACTTTTTAAGGAGAAAAGTTTCTATTTTATCAAAAACCAACGTTTTGTCTTTAATTCTTAGACTTTTTTGAGAAAAGTTTTTATGTTAAAAAATATTGGTTTCCAAATGATGTGGATTAGGTATCGGTTGTATTATGATATAATACGCTAGATAAGTGTAACTTTACAATATAAATAAATTAAAATCACAAACTTAAATCGTTAAATCGCTGTATGTGATAATTTTGTAACGAAGTTTATTCATTACAAAAAATGTTCTATAAATCAAATATGTAATGTCTATAGTTTGGCGGAGGTAGAGGCTTATCATACATGCTTTTAAATTTAAAATTGAGTTTTATATATAAAAGATAAAGTCTCAATATTATCTAAATTGTAAACACTATTAAAGGTCTGATCCATAGAACTCTTTTTGTAGGCGGATAAGATTTGCTACAAAATTGTCATTTATATTTTTGCTATAATTGTACATAACAAATGTCTATGGAGACTTGTACAGTTAAAATAATTCAAGCTACAGGAATACAACTAGAGACACAAAAAAATTGGAAAATTTAACGTCTAACAGAAAATATGTTGTGTTTGTAATGCAAGCGCCGATTTTTTACGAAATTTTATTAGGGTAGAAATAGAACAATTAGTTGTGACTGTTCTTGTTTCCATTATAATCACAAGAACCGCTTTAAATAGATCCCCAGTCCCCCTCCCTTTTAGAGTCGCATTATACAAGTAAATGTACATATAAAACAAACATTATTATAGGCCCCCGTGGTATTTTTTGGACCAACCTTTATTACACAATACGTATATATATATACACATTAGAAGCAGAAAATTCAACGGCTGTCCGACGCGGAGATGGATTTGGCTGCAATTTTCACGCTTCGGGTACGAAACTCCGGGAAATCATGATAAAGTCCTGTAAAGTCAACATTCAATAAAGAAATAATTTTTAAGGATAAAAACTTACCAACATCGTCTTGTACGAAGTTATTAAACAAATACAAAACAATAAAAGAAATATGCCTTGTTCTTTTGTAAATTACAAAAGAATATCAGAATAAATGGATCCCTATAATACTCCTCATCTGAAGAATGCAAATAAATCGGGTAAAAAAGACGGGGTTAATTTTTTTTTAAAGATACCCTATCGTCTAATTTCAGAAAAGAAAGCTCAACATTCTCTCTCGGGTAGGAACTCCCATCGAGTAAATACAAGGAGGTTATGTTGGACTTTCTTGTCCTTGAAATCAGATTCACACTTTCTGTACAATACCCAAACCGAAAATAGTATTTATCCTAATTTTAGGGATGTAAGCGCAACATAACCTACCAGCTAAGAAACGCCATTTACTATTTACTAGAAAAGTATTTTAACATCCTTCGAGTGGAAACAACTCGGAGGATGTTAAAAGTCTTTCCTTATAAGTAGTAAATACGATTTCTTACCATGGTGGGGATGATATTGCGCTTTCGTCCCTGAAACCAAGAAAAAGTATCGCACTTTCGGTTGGGGTATGATGAATAAATTTTTATTCGATGTAAAACCTAACCTAGGTACATTTGGCCTTCTATGAGGAGATTTCAATCAACACTACAAAAGCTGTTCTTAATGTTACACATCGTTATTAATAATTGTAACTTACTAGGTTGTTTAGTTAGTTACCGACTCCACAAAAGAGACAACATTTGAACACCACAATAACCAACCAAAAAAAACTAGTATGCTGCAATTATTAACAACAATGTGTAATATTAAGAGCATTTTTTGTAGCATTGATAAAACCCTTAATAGAAAGCGAAACGTCGATTGTGTTTTAGATCGAATAAAATAGTATATTACACACCAAGGGAAGCAAGTACGATACTCCCTCCTAGGAGGGGGTATAGTAGTTTTTTCACGAGGCCCGCATACAATTTTGGGATATACCTTAACCGAAAGTAGTATTTTTCCTCATTTTAGGGACTTAAGCTCAACATAACCTCCCAGGTAAGAAACACCATTTACTATTTACGAGAAAAGTATTTTAACATCCTTCTAGTGGAAACGACTCGGAGGATGTTAAAAGCCTTTTCTAATAAAGAGTAAATGCGATTTCTTATCCTGGTGGGAATGTTGTGCTTTCGTCCCTCAAATCAAGAAAAAATATCGTACCTTCGGTTAGGATATTGTGAATAAATTTTTATTCGATGTAAAACCTAACCTAGGTACATTTGGCCTTCTATTAGGAGGTTTCAATCAGCACTACAAAAGGTGTTCTTAATGTTACACATCGTTATTAATAATTGTAACTTACTAGGTTGTTTAGTTAGTTACCGACTCCACAAAAGAGACAACATTTGAACAGTACAATAACCAACCAAAAAAAACTAGTATGCTGCAATTATTAACAACAATGTGTAACATTAAGAACACCTTCTGTAGCCCTGATAAAATTCCATAGTAGAATGCGAAACGTCGGTTCGATTTTACATCGAATAGAAGGCTATTAACCCCCGTATTTTTGGCTCAACTTATTTGCATAAAATGCATCGTACTCATACCGAAAGTCCGGCAAATCCTCTTGTTCCCACGATGACCTACCCTACCTGAAACAATAAGAAAAGACATTTACTATTTTGTTCGAAAAAATAACATAAAAACAATTTCGAAACAAAAAATTGATTTTGTACCTTTTTATCGATTGTGAATAGCAAAATCCTCTTCATTCTCTGCCCATTACACTTCGTACCACACCATATTCGCCTGTTTACTCCCCCACGTAAAGTTCGTTCTTCTAATTATAATAAACACAAACGCAATGACCCTGTAAATATAAAACGAAAGATACAATTAAACAATACAAGTTTCAAAATCGACAAGCAAGAAAAAATAAAAAAAATTATAATTATTAGTTACCTTGTTTGAAATCGCTGATATCGTTGATTATGATTATTACATCTCAATTCTCGATTATTACATACGTATAACCTGCCTATGGAAAAACAAGACAAAGTATTAATAACAATTTGTTTCTTAATTAAATAAGTTAATTTACATCGTTATAACCGTCTGCTTCTTGTGTATTTTCTTTGTTGTTTATTCTTTCAATGGCTCATTCTGTAACAAATGAAAAAACATAAAATATTCGTTTCGTCTTAATTCTTCTACTTTTTTGGCTTTTATTTTGTTTAGAACTTTCAATGAAAACATTTTTGTAAGATAAGACAATAGAATAAAATCAATAAAAATTACTTGACTAAGTTTCACCGTTTCAAGTGTTTTTTATTTGTTGTATTAGTTTTGTTTTTATAGTAATTACCTCCTTTTATGCGAAAGACAGCCTCGAGATGCAAAGTATGATGTACCTTGGTCTTCTTCTAGGTACTTCACAGATTGTGAAATTTGTCTTCTTTCCATTTAAATTTCTAACCTTAGTAAGTAGAATAGAGAGACGGGGTGATTGAATCTGTAACAGAAACAAAAAAACAAAAATTAACTTAATATAATAGCTCGATTGTTTCGGTCAGTTGTCGTTGATAATCTAAGAAATCTCGTCGTTCCTGAAACAAGTGAATATGTCAGAAGAAAAAATAATCAAGTGTGAAATAAAAAATAACTTACAATGTTTTGTAAACATCAGCATCACATCACTACACTTGCTGAAGTACCTAAAAATTCGCGTTCTTTTGTCACTTGATGTGAAAAAGAATTTCAAACAAGCGATAGAAAAAGTACACATAAAAAATATCAGCCTCCCAAAAGGGGCACAAATGAAAATTACATCAAACTCATACCGATGATATATATTCGGCGAATCCTCTTCTTCCCACGATGACCTACCCTACCTGAAATAATAAGAAAAAAGTTGAATATATTTTAATTTTAACAAAAAACAGTATTTTTCAATTTACCTTTTTAATGTTTGTGAATAGCATAATCCTTTTCATTATCTGCTAGCTCCTCCAGCCCCTTCCACCTACTGCATCTAACACACACACACACACTAACACTGAAATTACCAGATCAGCTCTGTAAAAAGAAAGAATATTAATTAAGCTATTCATATTTCCTAAACAAATGAAGCATTACCTTTAATGTAAGGGCTAATCCACTAAAACAGGCAGACTATATTAATGCATCTGCATTACAATTTGGAATTTTTTCTGAAACAAGAAAACAAACATCAGTTGTTTTCAGCATAATATCAAATTAATCAATTATTTTTCTTCAGACTTATAATGAACTTTCTTTTGCTAGCTAAATAGACAAACTCAAATTGACCTTCTTTAATATGCAGAAAATAGAATATTTTTTTAATTCAGTCCATGAAACCCAATTAAAATTATTATCAACCTGTAGCCCCGGCATGTAAATATTAAATACCTACTAAGACATTAATTTGAATGTAATATTTAAGTAGGTATTTATATATTATAGAATATAAAAATATAATACACAAAGGCCACAAAATATTGCCTTTTTGTAATTAATAATTACAAGTTGAGGTTGCGAAATTAAGAAAAATATATTATTAAAACTACGATTTTAAGAGTGTTCAAAATGGCGACCAGTATTAACAAGGTATCAAAAACATTAATAAGGATAACATGAATAAAAAATATAGTTACCAAAATAATAATGCTCGCAATGAAAAGCGAATGCTCTGAAGAAACAAATGATAATAAATATTAGCAATAACACAAGATTTTTTACAACAAATTAAAAATTCACGCAGGATAGTTGAACCTCCCATTGCCGACTACGCAGCAGAGAAATAAAAAAATGGCCGCGTAAACCATCACTGTCAAAGCCGTCTTTTATAATTATTTTGTTACTATGAGAATTTTACATATAGATTTAACAATTGGAATAAACTTTAAGACAATTTATTGTTAATAATATATATTTCGTAATTCCTATCATTAGCTAAATCCGCAAAATCATTATCTGGTATTATTTTTAAATTTTTAGAAATCATAGAATCGCGTTGCGTTGTTGACAAGGTATATCTATTGTTTTATATCAAAAATGTTTAATGAAATAATCAATTAAAAAATATAGTTACCAATGCGAAAATATGCATTTGAAACGGCCAATTCCACAAGGAAGTGAAAAATAAGTAATTTAAGTAACAATATTAATTTTTATGCAAAACATTTAAAATTCATACGGAACAACTGAATGTTGACCACCCACTACGTAGTAGAGAAACAAATAAAAGAAGTATGGCGGACGTTTGACGTGTTCACCATCAGCCTTCTTTATCTTTACATAAGCTCATATTTGTACTGATTTAAAAAATATAACCCTTTTATCGTTCATTACGTATTGGGTAGGGTTAATTAGCAATTTTGATGAACACTCCAATTTTTTTTTAATTAATTGGTTATACATTTATTATAAATTCATAACTACAAATACATATACCTAGACAATACAATTTTAGTTTTCTTATCGCTGTCACTAATTATTTACTAATTGTCCACGTAATTGCATTTTATGTCTTAATCTTGATCTATTGTCTTAGTTGTAAAAGGAAAAAACGTTTCGCTTTTTTCCTTTCAATAAAATTAAGGATATAGAAGGTATCTCCGTTGACAATTAGTAAGTAATTAGCAATAGTAGCACATATAAGAAAACTATAACTACCTATGTGTTGTTTATATGTACGTGTCTATTTGTAATTATGATTTTATAAAGTACGCAATTAGTAGCTGGAACATTTTATATTATTGTAAACGAAATATAATAATTTATGAAAATAATTAGTATGAAATTATAAAAATCCTTGTATATCTTATCATATTTCGCCTTTTTAAAACATCTTTCGCTTTTTTCTAACGGCAAAAATGGTGGACAACACGTGGGCGGCGAAAGGATTATACATGTACAGGTCAATGAACTTCACCTGTTCACCAAATTTTTTAAAATTGGGTATTGGTATATACCCTGTTTTAAGTGAAATAATTTCGACATACCTTAATAAGGGTGAAATTCACAAATTTCAGATAAATCACCACCAAAAAACTTATTTAAGACCTTAACATTCGGAACCTTATGGACAGAACTTGCCCCATGTGCGTTATCATAGATGTAAAACATAGGTGTAAAAAAGTGTCGAATGTACCAATAAATGTGTGTTACGTCAACTATGAAGAAATGGTAGAAATATTCATTTTTACGTCCTAAATAAATTCTAGGGCAATTTATGCGTCCTTTTGTCTATCTTTTGTAATTGATTATAAACGTGGTGATTTCAAATTGCTACCAGAATTTTCATAAATTTATTAATATACGGGGTGTGCTCAAAATATATTCTTTAAATCGCAAATAAAGGGGGGTATCAAATTAGAAAATTCACACTGTACACTTTCTTATGCATTTCCCGTTATTTTATTTTTTCAATCTTTTGTATAAATTAATGATAATTTTAAACAGTTTTATTCTGTGACTCTATATACTTCTCCCTTGCTTTATTTATTATATCTCTATGATCCAAACAACGGTTTAATTCTCCATTGTTGATTATGTAGGTGGTTGTATTTTTTGAACAAAAAATCATGTTCTGCCTTATAATAAATAGGTACGTGCAATATTTTCAGGTGAGAAAGGCGTTTACGCTTATTAATATTAAGCAAAATAACAAAAAACTGTCATTGTGTGTTATATTATGTATAAATTTTTTTTTGCAACAGAACATTGTTTTCGTTGCAATCGTGTTTAATTTGGTAAAATCGTTGTCGTCAAAAAGCTTAGCAATTGCTCGCGAGTGCACCCCTTCGGCTGCTGCCAGTTCGGACAATTTAAGTTCAAATGATAATCCTTACGAGTGGCGTAAACTTGTCGGCTCGATTAGACGAAAAGTTCAACGGAACCCTACTTCAACAAACAATGGCGAAAAGGGTGGAAATGGGTCGGTGTCGCGTAAAAATTCCCTGACGAAAAGCAAATTTGACTTGTTCAAACGTGAAACAAGTCGTGAAGAGATCGGGATACAACATAGGAAGGAAAAAGGGCCGACCACAAGTAAAGATGAAGGAAACGTACCAAGTGTAAGCAGAACATCTAAGCTGGTGAAGCAAAAAAGCATCGAGTTGTCACCTAGTAAACGGAATTACTTTCGAAAATGTTATGAAAACGAAAAACGCAAATCAAATAAAGTTTGCCATTCTAATATGGACGTTTCTGCTAATAAATCAACCAAAACCGACGTGATGTTAAAATCCAATCGATCTAGTTTTAAAAATAAAAAATCGACCAAACAGAAAAACCAAAGAAACGTTAGCAGAGAAGACTTTTTAGCTGCTACCATGAGGATTTTTTTAGTCGTTTCGCCACCCGGAGGAAAGATACAGGTATGTTATTAAGAACATAATACACGATTCCTTTACTTTTGTCCTACGTCTCTTTAAGGATTTCTAAAGACGTTTCAGTTAATACCTAGGTACTCGAATAATATCCACATTCGTTCAAACACTTCAGAAGGTTTAAAATAATGTTCAACTTTTTGTAATTACAATCTATTTTATCCTTTTTTTTTGGGTGAGGGTCGGGGAACGCTAATATAAAATGGGGAATTATTTGTCTTTCTCTTATTATTTTCAGCACGCTTTCGTATTTATTTATTTCAGAAAGTTTTACTCAGTCTGGTTTGTCTATATTTCAATTTTATAATTAATTTTAGAAGTAAATGTTTTTTAATATTTAAAAGAGGTTTTTTTAATTTTATTATATTAAAAAATGTTTCACTGCCGAATAATGTATTT